TTTTTTATTAACTTTTATTAATAGGTTTTAGTTATACAATTTTTATTAATAAGTTTTAGTTATACAAATTTATACATTTAATAAAAATTTTAAAACAATACATCTAAAATATTATCTACATATTTCTTTATCTATATTTAGTCCATGTTTTTTCTTCTAAATATTGCCAGTTGCAATTATACATGCTGTTTAGGATACTTAGTTTCAGCTAAAAAAAATTAGCTTACTTGTCTCAGTCACTATATAAAGATGTATCTATGACCAGATTTATAACAACCCGGAGTTGTATCCAATAATGAATGTAAGCATGGGTGAATAGTAAATACTCACTCAAGAAAAGCTCAAAAAGAGCAAAGGAGATTAAAGAAATACATGTTGATGTTAACTATAGAAGTAACAGAAAATATTATACAAGAACCTGGAAAGCTTTGTAAAAAAAAAAAAAAAAAAAACTATTCTAAAAAAATAAGTCGTTCCAGCCTTGAGAATGTAATAAAACTCCAAATTGCTTCTTTGTTTTATCATTCCGATTTAGTGGGCCAGTTGTAACCTAAATTCAGCCATCATATTACTTCTGCAGCCAAAACCCTACAAAAAAGAGCAAAACTTTTCATGTTTTTGCGGGTTAGTAATATTTTCTACTACTAACTATAGATAATGGAATAATACATAATATCAAAAAAAAAACAAGACTAGTGAAAAAAAAAAGATTCTTATTGTTATATATAGAGATTGCATATAAAAATTGTTTTTGAATCGTGATGTATAATCAATCAGATCAAAAGATCAGGTGTAATGTGAATCACATTTTTGTTGTTCAGAACGAAAAGATTTTTAAAATAATAAAAATAATAAGCATCATTTTTAGGATTAAGGATGTAGCTTATACTAAATCTTCATGAGAAATTTTTTTATTAGAACAGGCAGTTTGTTAGATAAAATTTGGATTTTTTTAAAAGACCTGATTTTCACGTACATACACCTGATTCTTTAATCTAATTGTCTAGAACCATATGCCAGAAAATTTTTTGTGAGCTACATAAAAACCCTTATAATTCACAATAAGCAACCTTTATACAGATCTTTCATTAATACAAAAAAAAAAAATGCATACAAATAAGGCAATTATCTCTAACAATAAGAAAATGTAATAATAGTTATGCAAAGATATAATAAAAATATAAAGTTAATTAATTCTGCAAAACATAATAAGATTTAAATAACAATTACATAAATCGATGTGTTTTAGAGGTGCACCGCTGTGCAAAGCCCAATTTTATAAACTCATCCTAATATATATATAATATAGATGTAATAGAAAAAGGTTATCAATCATTTTCTTCATCTAAAAAACTATTGAGATCATTGTCATCTTCTGTTTCTTGATCTTTATTGCCAAGTGACACTGCTCCTTCACATTTCAATTGACATAAATATGTTTTCTTCTTTCGTTCTGGCAGAAATGACAATATATAGTCGAGTTCTTGTAATAATTCTTTATCACTTTTCACATCACTAAACCTGAAGCTAAAAATGATTTAAAACTATAAACCTTATCAAAATCTATATGCTACCTTCATTATTATCTGTTATAATAAATATCTGCTATAGCATTATATAGTAGAGTAATAAAAATTTTAAAAATGCTCTAGATAATCATCCCATTATAATGAGAAAACCTGGCATATTTGAAAACAGGGTTGATGGTAGCATCAGGAGAAGGAGCAGAAAAGGCAATAGCGAAAGAAGCCTTAGCTAGGAATGACAGATGATTTAAAACAAAATGTTTTAATTAATTTTAACATTTTACTAAATCAAGTTAAAAAATTATAAAAAATGTTTTTATCATACATATTTATGTATCATATAAGTAAATAAAAAGTAATGTTCTAACAAGAAAAAATTATTAGACCCATCTCAGCAACTAATAAGATTTTCCTATTCAAAACCCAAAGCCAAAATAACATAGCTTTGGATTTTGTTAGTATTTGTTTCTTTTACAAGCCAGTGTTTAA